CAGTCAATTGAGTCCAGAACGCAAGTCACAGCCTCGGATATATGAATCATTATATTACAAACATGCTTTGTTTATATACCATTCAAGCAGTCCACAACGTACCATAAAATAGAAGATAATATTGTACAACAATGGCCAACAGGAAAATAACACGTTAAATAAATATTGGCCAATAAGATTATACCATTTCATGTCCAAGAATAGCATTAGGCTTGACAGGATAATTTTTGGGATATTTTCCTGAATATCCCAACAGAACTAGAACTCCCAGAAATAACGTAATCGGATCAAGAACTACTAGATAACTACAATCGAATGTACTGTATTTAGAATTCGAAATCAAGTATTCAACAACTACAAAGTTATCATGAGTTCATTCAAACACCACAGAGTGGTCGGTTTCCATTCTTCTAGACGTTTCTGAGATTCTATTGGGTGGCTGAACAGGTAACGTACAGGTATACTGAAGCCCTCCGAGCACTGTTTTAAGATTGACACTTTCGTGCTCCCGTGGATTTCAGTTGCTTTGATACTAGGAAACCACACCACTTTTATACAAGTTAAGTAGGCTTCCGATCATCGATACAGATTGGTACAGTATAAAATCTAGCTCGCATTTGAAATTGCCGCTTCTTGAAGTACCTCTGGTCGGCGGTTTATTTATAAACTATCTCAACTTCGTAGTATGTGTACCTTTAGAAGATCTGCATGTTTCAGAAAATGACGAATAACATGACTACGAGTATCATGCATTTTTGTCCGTCTTGCGGCTGAAGAAATTTTCTGTGTCGAACTTCTGAATTATTGACTTATGGCTTGTAGTATGTGGGTTAGTATATTTGATTAGCATAATTTTTCTTCATCCGTTTTGTTATTAGATTGGATTACATGCTTCGAAAAGTATTTCGACGACCTATTCGACGTCTTTTGGTAGACGATGTTCTTGTCATTGGATGAATTAAAAAAGTTCTCTAGTGTGTAAGTAAGTAATAATTCGGATAATTGTAGATGATATGTACTTAGGACGTTCACGTACAAATTAGGCACATTTTTTGCTATCTACTTCTGTAAAAATGTCGTGCAGCTGACGGCTGTAAGATGACATAATTGTACGGGTTAGTGCTGTTACAAGTAAAATGTATGACTCCCTTATTTTTACAGATACTCAGACAAATATATGGGAAGCTGAATTATACATACACATTATAGGATGACGTGCGATAGAATATAATTTTCGTACTAACAATGTCTTAATAAATCACTCAATAATCCCTAAATCTCAGCAGTACGGTTAAGTAGATCGATATTGCTGAAGGGCGTAGATGCTTACGAAAAGTTTGTGAGATGCCAGATGTGACAACCTGACAATGTATACTAAAGCTACCCGGAGAAATCAGTCACATTACTGATAAGCAAGGCTAGCAGTATTTGGATAGCGTACTGCCGCGATGACTTGCGCGCAATACATCAGCTCCGTATTACGAAACGCCCATCTGTTTATCAATTGGGTAGTTGCAGCCAATGATAACTCGGTTTATTAACGCCTTCGCTGGACGGGGAAATACATAATATTATCTGAAGGGATATTTAAGTCCCAGAAAATTCGTTCATTTGCACTAACCACAGATTAGAGGCCACATTACTAATTGATGGATATCGGTTTACAGTGTTGCATGTCTAATCACGTTCTGTGAGAACACTACACTCTCTCACACCCCATGTTGACCATATTTATTCAAATAATTTATCTCACTGAAGATGCCGCAGTTATTTTGAGTTTTCTAACTCTTTGAGCAGTAATACCTGTAACGGAAAGAGAACGTTAAAATCCCTCCGCCGCATTTTTGTTGGACAGTACTGTCATTTACTCGTTTGTCCCCCACGTCGTGTATTTTAGCATTTGTTCAGATCTCTTTTGACCTTACTTTACGTTCTTCTTTCTCGGCTGAGCCTTTATTATGTGGTTTTGATTAAAGACCTATCATTTGTTACTTAATCTTCTATTGCATGTTACCGGACTACTGACAGTAAAGTCGTGTTTCACTATGCTCAAGGTCACGGCGTGACTCACTGTGGGAATGTTGACCCTTTGACTGTCTGCTTGGGAAGATTGCTGGAATCCCTGTAGATAGATATGTGATCCCATGTTGTTGGGATCATTTTTATTGATTCTCAGGTATCGAACCCTTTGACATTAACTGTTTCTTTTATTGTTTAGCGCGCTACTTAAAATTCTGACTGCATAGCACAGGCTGTACCATTTGAGGTATTTTGTATTTCGATATGATTTGTTCTATTCTCTAAATTAGAACCGTTTAAGTTGAGCACAGAGTTTGTAATTTGATATAATTTAATACGAGTGTTTCAAAAATTCTTTGTAAGCTATACAGAAGAACGCAGTCTGGCCTATTCGAATAAATTTTGGTTCGTCAGTCCTGCGTTCAAACCGAATACTGGTACTTCGGTCGTTGCACCTTATACTATGAATAGTGCCCACCTGGTGATTTCAGAAGTCAGAAGCGGGGAGGTTCGAAGATACATTTGATAAGCAATTGATTTTAGGGATTTATTTACCGCTACAGATCACTCTCCTCCTAATGGGGTGATGATGACCCTAAGACGTGACCAGCCAGAAGTTTAAACACAACAAGTTTGTCTTTGGTAAACACTCTTCTGATAGCTTGTACTGTTCAGCAGCGTCTGGTCGTCTTTTCTTACAATAAGACGACATGTGGTACAATATAATAGTAGAAAAACAGATACAATGAAAATTTCGGTTCACCGTGAACTTCGTCGTTCTTTTTTCTTCTTTCCCAGCCGTCCTGGTAAAAAGGATATGTAAGTGCATGTCGAATCACACCCGCACGTACGTAAAAACCCAGAACGGGTGAAAAAGGAAAATACTCATATAAATGCGATAGTACATAAATATAAGCATATTAAAATTGGTCTGATTACTATAATACAAAGAAAAATCGAGACGAAACAAAATGTTAATTAGTGTCTCACGTTCAATAATTGTTTAAATGTTCTAGAAACCTTACTCTTTTTCCGGAACGCATTGTTTTTAGTCTATTTTCAGATACTTTCAAAGTAGAGTCTTGAGTGTTGGCTATCGGATGAGGTATCATAAGTGTAGAAGTCGTGTCTTTCAACTGTACTGGAGGAAAATTGATCCGATTAAGGATTCTTTCTAAATAGGCTGAGTTGGTGCGATCCATGCTGATGCCATCGTTACCTCTGTTCTCATGGATTTTATAGTGCTTAGATTCACGCTGAAGAACTTTGAAGGGTCTTCCGTATGTCGATTCCAGTGGTCATGCATATGAGTTTCGACGTACAAGGAAGTGTGTACTATATTGTACGTCAGGTTGAACGAAAACACCAGTTAACTGCATTCGAGCGGGAACAGGTTTAACCAAACGCATTGTGTTCGTAAGCCTACTTGTTTAGAGGTCTGGATCCATATTCGTTGACGAAGATGAAAGATCTGTAGAACTATGGTCTACTATGATATTAGTACTGCTCTAATAATAGACCTAATCCTAAATTTGCAGATTTGTCATGATATAACTGCCTAATCTATAAGATCTTACGTGGAAGTCACACCATCAACTACACCAACTCACTGTATCGTATCAATTACCAAAACATGATGTAGAACAAGGTTAGGCTAGAGAAGGAACAATATATCTAATATGAATAGAAGACATAAGGTAACATTCAGCAGAGACCACGCCTGCATGGCCGAGCCATGCCACTCGATCAACTCCAGTCCATTCAACTCCTTGTTCGCGCCTTCTCCATTATTAGGTATTTCTCCGCGTTAAATATTGAATATCTATTTTCTGATTAGTCTTGTGTTCAGCTTTGTGGATTGTGTGGTTATTGTCCAATGCCACTACAGATCTACGAATTTTGCCGGCAGTCGAAGTGTTGTTCCATAAATGAGTTGGGCTATGTCGGCTTTCGCTGCATTGTGAATGCCAAGTAAAGCGAGTGGAAGGGCGTCGGTCCACTGTGAAACGTTTGCAGCTGATAGGAAAACTTTGAGCTGTCGGCGAAAGCGTTCTACAAATTCGTTAGTTTGTGGGTGGTTTATTTACCGCTACAACAGATAGAAAAAAATGCGGTAATCTTCATCTAAGAGTCGATGCCATCTATGTCTATCCTGAATATCGATTCAACGGCGAAGTTCTGTTTCACTTCGCAAACTGATGTTTAATTTGGTTACTACAATTTATACACTTCAACCCCGACCTGTAACAGGACATCGAAAGCAAAAACATATCCACACAAAAGCAAGATCCCATCTGAGAATCACTTAGGGAACATCTAACTGACAATGCTGTTACGATACTATTTAGCCAGGTAATTCGCTAGCGAAGGGGTGTTAACGAGCGTCTTGACTGTAAGAAATGCAAACTCCTGCCGGATTATTTCGGCAAGAGCTACTCACCAATCGATACTTTTATTCCGTCCTTCAGTTTCTGAAAGAAATAAAACAAGAACCACACTTCCAGGTAACTAGAATTACACTCCAACTACCTAGACGTAGATCCTACGTACCAAGCGGTTCGCTATTTCAGTTGAACTTTGAATGACCTTAAGTCCTTACGTGTTAGCCAATAAGCACATGACAAACCGGTACTCTTTTGAGACGTTGGAACAAGCTTAATAGGTATGGTGACATATTAGTTTTTTTTTACAGCAACTTATACCAAAATGCTTCTGTTATTAATAAAGAAACCCCTACTCATGCTTTAAAAATCAAATTGGACCGGGCATAATACGATCACATATAAGTTTAAGAATCGAAATTTTGGGGTAGCTGCAATAAAAATTATTAGGAAGTGCAACAAATATTCAAGAGTTTTAACTGGTCTGGGGTTTATCCACGAAATTCCGAGTTATTTTGCGAAAATCCTAACAACGTTTGGAGGAAATTTTGGTTTTCCCCAATATTTCCCCAGACTTTGTGGAAGACTACCAATTATCATGTTACTTTTAATTTTTTTTTCAGAATTTCCTTAATTCTCGGAGATCGCTTATCCTAAAATACCAACTCCAAATTCCACAGCGACATGACTACGTCAAGATACACTAATAAATGTCCTGTTGTATGTACATAAAAAGATTTTGTCCTTATATACTTTTAAAAGCAGAAAAAAGACACGAAAATATCCTTTTTCTTCAAAAACTAATTGAACAAAGCTGTAGACGGGTGTTTATTTAATTTTGTCCTTGGACGAAATATATAACGAGTAGACACAACCGACCAATCATAATTTATCTTAATCGGACGTCACACATTTGTTCTGAAGCATTCAAATAAAACTATACATTGAGGCTGTGATATATTTATGTAGGCTTCAATCTAGTGTGAAGATACGTTGTATACAGGGATGTAGTGCAGAGTAATATGAATGATAAGTAGAAAAGAGTAAAAGCAAAACAACCAACAATTCACTTAGCTCACAAGATATACTTACACTTAAGAGAGTTAGCAACTAGAAAGGTAAAATGTGAAGAATTTATGAGTATAAGATGATCTGGCAATTGAAACGAGCTAATTGACTTGAATAAATTGTAGCAGTTCGTGTCTGGTCAAACGATTTTAAGTGTCATATGCCGTCTTCAGTGGCTTAATAAACTTTGCTACTGTCTCTATTTAAATGTCGACTTGCTTTTCCCACAAATAACTCTTCTGGCCGTTTTTAGCCTTTTTTGTATTATTTTTGTTGTTTGTCTTATGTTATGATGCTTTTAAATGCAAAATCTAAATCTTTCCACTATTGTTGCACTGCTTATATTAGCTTGATCAGTGTAAGTTTTGTGGGGATATGTTCTTTAGTGAGTGTTCTCAGTAAGGCCGGTGACTACTTTTGGCAGTTTTTATTAGCTTAACATTCTTTCTATGACTTTCTGGGGCAGTTTGAGGGAAATGTTCCTCACAATGTCCAAGGTTTGAAGTTAGAACTATGCAAGCACTGTATCCCTGTCTGTGTAATATGTTTCTCTTAAAGATAGTATTCACTAGGATTCCAAACATATTGAGTTTTCATGCCGCAGGATCTCTACTGGATTATCCAACTGAAACTTACTGTCTTTTCTTAACGTAATTATTTTCACGTTTCAGAGCACATATATATTAATATAATGCCAACTAACAAACGGTAAGATATTACTAGTTACTAATAGTGATTTGTACAGATGTAGATGAATGATGATTAACCCACGTTCGTGGATGTCTGACCTTCCCTCTCATATATCACAGAAGGCCCTTAATCTGATAAGCATTCCAGGTTTGTCACTCTATATTTTACATTGATTTCTCACGTCATTGAATCCTACTCTAATAACTTACAGAAAAGTCTAAGTGATTATCTACAAGTTGATGTATCTTTCCACGCCAATTAGTGCTTTACACTTTTGTTGTATTGTTCTGCATTATTGTCACTTGCACTTAAAGTGCTTCTAATATTATGGGTTTTTCGGGTTCGAAATCGGGCTTTTCAGTTGTTCTCTTATAAGGTACCAAAAAACACTAGTCTTATGGAAACAGAGTGAAAATCGAAAAATAATAATTGGTCGATAGCCCAGTGTTTCAAGTAAATTCTCCAAATGTATTTAAGCGATATGAACTATTAGTATGCTTTAGAGCAACCTTGATCAGTGGATTATAGCGATCTGTTAGGTGACCTAAATAAACCTCCATTTTCCTCATAATATAGTCTTAGTTATCAAGTAGAGGCTCTTGTATGAGAGTTTTTATGCGAATTTGTAATGGGGATCAAACCTAGGGTTTAGTGGTTCAAATTAAATGCGCTAACCTATCAAATTATAGTTTCACTCAATTGAGTACATAAATTTCATTTTCATTCAGTTAGGTCTCAATTTTGTAGATTTGGATGTGATTTTTATTTCAATAGTTTACTAATTTATCTGTAGTTCAGTGTTTTGAAAATGAATTTTTAACACATTCTGAAGGTTCCCTAAGATATCATTGTTATAAACTACTTTCAATCAGTCGGTTGTTTTAGTTACCTTTCATTGTAAGCTGACGGCGTACATTACGGTCAGCCATAGAATTAAGAGTATTATAAAACTCATCTTAAATATGTGAATTCAACAAACTGTACTAAGTTGTTTAATACAAATAACTGCGGACCAAAGCTTGTCCAATTTACTGACAAGGTAAAAGAAAATCTTATATAAAAACAAAATTATTGGAAGCGATATTAACATTTAATTCGTAAAGGACTACGTAAATCCGAAGCCACTGATTTGATATTGGCTCTCAACCTCATTACCATCAGTTTTTAAACAGAAGTTCGTTTTAGATCCTTTGAATTTAATGTACGTTCACTTTCAATCCCATTTTTGCCCCAAAAAGCCCTGGTACGCAGGAGGGTGAGGAGAGTCCGCTCACCTCGAAATGCTCTCACATGGCCACGTGTATACAATCACTGCCACGGGAAGTCCCACTCACTACCTTCTAGCGATGGGGGTGTTGTTCACGACATTGAGAGGACAAAATGCAAATGTCCAGCGCTTTGACCGGGATGGTGGATACGGTGGATCCACCTAGGGGAGTTGGAAAAAACTGATTCCAAACCAATGGTGTACATGGGCTTCAGGATCCTGAGGCGACAAATGGCGTATGAACCTATTGTTGATCACCGGATACCATGGGACTGAATCTTCTAACATTGCTCCATTGCCTTGTGGACTGAACCTCTAGGTCAAAGTCTCGGGGTGTGGCTCCCCCAAGGAAATCGCCTATTTCAGTTTGGGCGCCCAAAAATTATCACGGCCCTCACACAGACCAGTGATAACTATTACTGAAAAAATTTCTCGTGCTTCAACGCTCACTCAGACAAATCTTATTCACAATCATATGACAACATCCGCTTTTATTTCTTTATGCTGCGTCACCTATTTATTCCTCTTTATTCTCATTTCGCGTATTTTATTTTTCAATTTACACAGCAGCTTGGCTATGATAGAAACCCTGTCTTATCTAAACGATCTCAAGTCACTAACTGGCCGAAAGTTGAATTCTACCACCGACTACGAACACTAAAAACGTCTTTCTGAAATCATGTATACCATTCAAACTGGTCCCCTTCAATGTTCGCACACTAATTCAGATCCGACAACAGATAGGGTTGGCTATGTCTTCAGAACTTCTTAATATCGATGTCTGTTGTCTATCCGAGACTCGTATTCAGGATTCTAGTGAAGTACTACAATTTTAATCACCTTCTGTTGCTTTGAAAGGCTTGCTTCACGTGCGTTTGTCCGGGGACCCTATAGCATCCTCATCTGGTTTTACTGGCGTTGGTGATCCACTAGGCGCCAGAGCTGAGGCAGTACTGATCGATTGGATCCTCAATAACAATGGGTTACTTGGTGTTAGATTAGAAAGTTCCATCAAAGTAAGAAGAAATCGGTGTGATAGACGATATCTTTTCATCATCTCCGCATACGCTTCGACAGATTGCAGCCCACATGCAATCGAGGATGGGTTTTACAACCAGTTAACTGTTCTTCTATAGTATGTGCGTTCGACAGATATTGTGATACTAGCTGGAGGCTTAAATGCTCATGTCTTTCTTTCTGTTAAAGAAAGTATTCTTTCTTTTATGAAGAAAGTAAAAGGAAGTTACGGCAGGATCGCCACTAGCTTCTATTCTGAACCATATCTGATAACGTCTCTAGCCACTGTGTTGCACCATCTCTCGGACCTCAACCAAAAAGTCGTGAAGGACCAACAGAAGACAGCCCTTTGCAGCTTTCTTTCATACCACGATACCATGTCATTCACTGACCACCTCTCCACTTTTTCCAACCAGACCCAGCGTCGGCAAATAATGCACGACGAGGAGTTCTGTGGGACGACATTCGTAGAACATGTGCAAGCCACCGAAGTCGATGTTTCAAGATGGTGACACCAACTGAATTATCGTCTCTGCGCCCGAACACACGATGCCGAACTTCTGCATTACTAACATGGTGTTGCAAATAGATGTCAGCAATCCTTCGGAGACAACGATGATCAAACACAGAGAGTCGCCTAACATCCTCAACTCAGAGAGACCAGGTTTCACAAGCGTAGAGCGAAACTGCTCTCACTGACGCAGTGTAGATCCAACCTTTAACAACCAGACTAACATCACAAAGATGCCAAAGATGGTCCAGATCGGCATAATTCGCTCTGGATTTCAGTATACGTGAATTGGTCTCACCAACAGCACTTATGCAGCTACCTAGATACACGAACTTCTCGACTACTTCTATCTGCTCACTACCCAGAGTGAGTATAGCATCAGGGTCCTGCCAGTCTTGTAAAACTAATTTACACTTAGAAGGTGCAAAGCACATATCATACCTACGGAAACTAATTGCCAACTGATTAAGTGCGGATTGCATGGCTTGAGTATTATTGCACAGTAAGACAAAACCATCCACATACTCAAGGTCGAGAAGTGTTTCTCCAGGCAACAGATCCACACCACCATTACTTACATCCATCAGAGCTGTTTCCAGAATGTCATCGATGGCAAAGTCGAGGAGGGATGGTGGGATTGGGCAACCCTGTCTAACGCCACTGTTTGAATGTAACAGTGGAGAAAGGTGATTGTATGCCCTCACTTTGCCTGAGATGTTTGTATATAGAGTCTTCAAGATGTTAATAAACCTCTCAGGCTCACCATTCTTTAACAGGTAATCCCAGAGAACAGTTATGTCCAACGAATCGAAGGCGGCCCTAATGTCAAGAAAAACTACGATTGTTGGCCTGCGATAAGTTTGGAAGTGCTTATACATTTGGCGGAGGGTGAAGCTATGATTGATGTGTCGTCAACCAGAATGGAAACCAGCCTACTTCTGACGAGTCAATCTTTCTTGGGTTTCAAACAATCTACGGAGTATGATGAAAACCTATAGTTCGGATGCAACAGGAAGTAGACATATCTCCCGATAGTTTTTGCTAGATGACATGAACCCTTTTTAAAGGTAGAGATAACTGTCGACTCATTCCACGATGTTGAAACACTGTAAGTGCCAGACATTCTTAAACAACTCAGTCAGTTCCATAGCCAGAAAGTCGTCACCATCTTTAAAAACTCCGGAGGTAAGTCATCTGGGCCTGGCAATTGTTGCGCTTCAAGAGTTGGAGTTCCTTGCGGGCCCGCCTCGTTAAGAGGATCAGTCGTCAGGGGCCATGGAGAACAGGACAGTCTGATCGATGTCACTGGGGCAACAGACCAGTTGAACTGTTCCTCGAAAAACTGTCCATCGTCCAAAACGTCGGTAGATGTTAGTAATTGGCATCCCTTCATCTTCACAGATTGTTTCACGCACACCAGACTTCTTTCTGCCAGTGAGTCGGATGAGCTGAAAGAGCTTCCGGCAGTTACCAGATGCAACGGCCACTTCCAACTCGTTAACATGCTTAAACCACCCGGCTTATCGGTCCTTACACAAGCTTTTCACAATTTCATTACGCAACAGTCTTCGTTTGTGGTCAAACACTCGGTCAACCGGAGTAGACCGTAGGGCTCCAATAAGTTGTAAAGAGCCTAAAGAAACACAGTGCTAATAAGTGGAACGTGTCGCGAATCCACAAGGGACTTCGCTCGCCATTTTCATGGCGTCATGCAATTGCGGTTGATGCTCATCTATACTTTTCGGTGGGACGGTAGCTAGCCTTGAACCTAGCTCGGTTTGATACTCAGTTGCAACAGAAGTTGCAACCAATTTGGTGACATCGATCTGTTTAGGATGATGAATTTGTTGGCCACTGAGACGCAAGTTAGGATTAGTGTAAACAGGGGTATGACTAGAGTATTATAACCTACTTCTTCACAAAGCATTCGATATTGGTGACAAAGTTACCTTCTAAACACTATCTTTAAATGCCATTCCTTCTGGTCAGTTAAAAATTAATGACCGAATTAATAGGTGAAAGATAAATTAGTCTACACAAGGTATCAAGATTTAACTGTTTTGACTGAGCTTTTTGCATCAAATGAAATCAGCCGTGTTTATATGTTATTTTGCCTGGATATTAATCAATATCTGTACCATGAATTTCTTTACATAACTTATTCCTGAATGTTGGATATTTTTCAATTTTGTTAAATGGAAACGAGATTATTGAAACATTTGGCAACAACATAGCAGCACTTGAGTAACGGACCACGCTCTCTAGAATAATTTTGAAGTTGCCGTTTAGCTGAAACAATTAATTAAAGCTGCCTAGAGACAGAATATCCTATTAAAATTCAGAGTAAATTGCTTTTTAAAAGTAACATATTGTTTATAGTTTGATTTAATACACTTGATTTCCTTACGGAGGTTTATTGTGTTTTTTGGTATTCTTTGGTACCAGCACCCATATTGATTCCTGTTTATTTAATTTAAATTGCCTCGGTTATCTTGTGTCCTTAGGTAGTCATAATTCATTTACGTATTCGATTACTCAACATAGTCCTCCTTCTCCTGATGGTCCTATTTTTCGTTTGGATACATGTTTACCTCGTTCATTTTTAAGCCGAATATTGTATCCTTGGAGTGTGACACAGTCACTAAGTTTATTCGATCAACTGGAAGCTGGGATTCGATATTTTGACTTTCGTATTTGTGCACGACAAAAATGTTTGAACAAATGTAAAAATGATGAATCTGAATTTTATTTAGCACACGGACTGTACGCAAACCTGTTATCTACAGAACTTCAGAGCATTCTTGGTTTCCTCAAAGCCAATCAGAGAGAAGTTCTTATTGTGGATTGTAATCATTTTTATAATTTTGAAACTGATGAACAGGAATATTGTTTTGAATCAACTGTTTTAAAGGTAGGAACAGGTAGTTTGGTAGTATAACAGAGTAATATACAACATATTGGTCAAACACGAACCCTTCTACTAAGTTGTTAAATAAATTTGAACTAATCAGTAAATAAACTTACACGATCAAACCGTGTACGCACAACTATTTTATGTTGCAAATTAATTTCAACTGGCCAAAACTTCCAGTAGATCACCCATCGATACAACTGTCAGTGAAACTACGAAATATTGAACATGAATCGGATAACAATTTCGTGCAATACATGCTTGTTTTTCCTAAACGATTCAGTTGTACACGTATTATATCACACTACTATGTACTAAAGTTTATGAAACAGATTAAATCTGGTTGTAAGATAAAAGCTACCCAGTTGATTTTTGCCGGTCATCATATTTTGTAGATTTAATAGTGATTGTTTACAATGTCATAATTACTGCGTCTTTTTGTCATAGGACCATATTTATTTCCGTATAAAGTTGACTAAACAGTTTGTACATTAAAAATAAAAACAAAAGCCTTTTCCGATAGCACATTCATAACGTATGTTGCACTAACTAATCACCTTTCCACAAAACCTCTCATCCTCATAAAATTTTATATATCGAGTATTCAACAAAATGATATACTTATTTGGTGCTCAACAGAAAGCTAAGCTCTCTTCCAGAGTAAGGTTAAGTGTTGTCATCAGCGTCTGAGTGGAGGTTGAATATCGGTCAAATAATCTATCAAACACATACCCAATCTCATAACCCTTTATGAATTACTGATTATGATTTCAGCGTTTATGAATCCTAAGCATGTGATATCGATTATAAACTTACTTTGTTGTAAAAATGGGTAGTTCACTGCTTTTTTAATAGAACAATAATCGACCAAGATAATCGTAAATATAACTTACATAACTACTACCTCAGCCAATGTGGATAATAAATCTGAAAAAGAACTTGAAAACTTATAGTAGTGCACCACCGACTTAATTGACTTCTCATTTCAGTCATTGCCGTTTCTATTCCATGTAGTTAACTTCCCATTTAAACAATGACTTAATTCTAAATTTATTGAATTTATCTGTCTATAGTTTGTTATTTTACTTTGAATCGCTTTCTTTCAAAAAATCTATAGGAAATAGTGTCAGATTTGTAACTCACAGGGATAATTTTGACTGTGTTGGGCATTGATTTCTTGATGATTTAACTTTTGTCATATTGTTTGTGTGAGTCTTGTATAAGTGTTTCCGAGAGATAAATAAAATTGGGGATAGTCGAGTTCAATTTGTGTAAACATGTTTCTCTTTTTGGCACAATATGTAAATATTGAGTACTCTCGTGCTCTAACGTAAATCAGCTTTAATTAACTGCTATTGTCAGTCTATAATTTGGAGTCATAGTTACCTTTGCAACAGGCATATGTTGAGAGGTCAAACACTTTTATTACGGGCAACCTTCTGGCAATCAACAATTTCAGGCTTTATATACTAAAGGTATTGCCAAGGATTACGGTCTTATATTGGAAATTTGCCTCACTGGTTTACTAACTTGAACGTGGAAATCTTCGGTTTTCACACGGTTTGGTTGAAGCCTCACTGTGTAAATATGTAATCCTTTAGTAAGCTGCATTACCACCACTCATTTTCTTATTGCCTTAATGTGTTTTCTTCCACTCATTTATTCCAGATTTTAGATAATGTTATGTTCCCTTATCAAAAAAATATTCCAACATTAGAAGAACTTTGGAGTGCTAAGCAACAAATCATATTTATATCCTGTCATCGAGAATCCCCCGAGAAGATCCATCCAAAATTTTGGCCTTCTAGTAGCATAAAATCATTTTGGCCGGAAACTGTTGGTCCACGAGCTATGATTTCATTCCTAAATAACCATATTAAGTAAGGTTTATTCATCTTTTACTGCTGTTGTAATTTTCTATTTTATTTACAAATATCTTGTTTGTCCTGATGTCTGTATAAGGTTCAGATTTATTGGTTTATTTTTCTTTGTTACTCTTATTTGAGAGATTACTATGAATAATAACTATTGAAGATCCATTGTTTTCTTGTTTCCTACCGCGAAAAAATTAGAACTAAGATCGGCTTTTTTATATGTATCCTAAACTATGTAGTTTTCCCAACCTGGCAATAAGAAACATTACTGTCTTTATTTTTTGCAGTTTGTTTTTGTTTTTTATGCAAGTTGGTAAATTTTGAGAACATACCGTCACACAAGATAACGTAAATACCTTAGGATTAACACATATGTGGGATACTAAGATGCTATATTAAGCTATCAATGTTAAAGTTGGCAATGTTGCTTGTTAAAAAAACATCAGCATAGAGGATCATCAAGTACCAGTCTATAAAATAAGCCTGTTATGTGCATCGGAGGAACTACACTACCTGTTCATTTAAATCAAAGTAAATCTGTGGTGTTTGCTACTGATATCAACATATATAAGTAGTAAGTATCACTAATCGAGAGTGAAATGCCTGGCGGCAGAAGGTTAAGAAGATCGAAGAGAAGAGAACGAGAACACAGAGTGGTTGGTACGGAAACGAAGGAACAATGAAATCTGTGACAACTGATTGACATTTTTCAAATGAAGTATTTACTGTATGGTTCTCAGATTTTACCAAGATATTCTGTAATGTTGCATTAAAATACATTTAGTAGTCACAGCCTGTGTTCTCGTTTACTACAGATTAAGAAGATATGTGGTTTTTAGTCAAAAGTTTCTGAGATTCTACAACTTAAACCAAAATATACTACGATTGGTTATTTAACTTTTACTAATGAATACTCTAATTAACGGGATACTCTAATTACCACTGATATCGAATGGTTCTGCGGATCTTTTCAGACATTTTCAAGCGAATCTGAATATACTAAACTGAATGTTTCACTTCACTTGTCAAACAGACTTGATGTTGTATTTAGTATCCGAGCGTACAGTGCACGAAATTCATAAACAGCTGTTAAGCGAATCATCAGATTGACTATAAAAAAATAGAAATAAAATTCAATGAGAGCTATGAATCTGTTTATCAGCTATACGTTAGAGATATTGTTCGCTAGTTTTTTCGGCTCTAAAATACCTTACTTAATTTCGACGGAAATGTCTAACTGCTACCTTTACCGTTTCTGATTGTTTCATTTCAGACCACATCTTCATAGACCTGATAATATTTTCTCTGTACACCAAGGTATTCTTACTCCAACTTTATCATTCATTTTACTGCATCCATTTAGTTCAGTTCATCGTTTAGCTAAAATAGCTGGAAAGTATTATCAACAATGGTTAAATAAAGCAGATCAGTTAGCTGGACCAGATGGTATTAACATCACACTTATTGACTTTTTTGCAACTACTTACCCAACATATATACGTGATGTTGTATCAATAAACTATAAAACATGGCCAAACGATAAAACATCTACTTAAGGTTTTTTTATCACCAGTGTTTTATTATTTTTTGATTTTCAATTTTATTTATTCCCACTTTCATACTTCCCGAGTTAACCGTTGTTTTTTATAAATACGATTTTAATTTTGATAATTCTTTTCATTTAATGCATATGGTTACTTCCTTTTTTGTAATATTTAAAGAAAAAGAATAGAAAAGCTAAAGAAGAGCTGTTTTCTTAGTTAACGTACAAATTATGGTGTTTTTTGGAAATACTTACCTTCAGTATTCCTATTCAACTTCATCATATGAGTACTGGATGATGCTATTCGTTTCCCGTCTTGTTTTTGTGTTAATCAACCAATTTATTTCAAGTATACAAATGTGATGTATCTCATTTAGACCGAAATGATACTAAGTGTTTGTTTTATGAACATATTTATTAGGACAACTAAAAATATTTAATATATGCTTTGAATTTGTCAAATTTCAGATAACACTTCCAGATTACTACATTAATCAATAACAATTTACATCATCCTCAAAAGTGGGCTGGTAGCAAAAGACAATTTGACATAATTGTAATGATGAGGATGATGATTGAAATCCTGGGTAGTACAGTGTCTAGTGGTCAAACATTAACGTGCCACAAATACTGTATTTGAACCGTTTGTTGGTATCTGTTATATATTACATATTATCGGAAAAAAGCATAAGTGATTTGGAAATATTCATATTTTTTCTTCTTTAAATACTGAACACTATATATACAAAACTATTAACTATCCTATTTCAGTTATTATTCAACTTATAATTATGCTATTAGGGGGTAATATCAACCTGTCTGGTTGCATTAAAACTGTAAAAGTTGTCATGTTCAGATTATCTATTCCTCTTTCAGGAGATTTGCAAAGAATTGGTATGCTAGTTTAATTTAACAGTGTAACATGTAGCTTTTATAGTTTGTTTAAGCATACCGCGTTATTATTAAATTGGAAAGTACAAATTGTTTACTTGACATGATATTCCAAATTAATTAAATATAGCCTACATAATAAATTATTAATACACCTGATTCCCAATAATATGTTGTGTACACAACATGTTAGATCTTACCTATCAAGCTTTTTCTCGTGATGTTGAAATACTACAGTATAGTGAAAGTTGAGATGGTGGAGAAGATTTGTAGCTCAGGTGGATGATTTTGGTAGTTTCTCAGAGAACAAAACTCCACCAAAATAGTGAAGGTACATATTATTGACTTTTTTTCACTGATTATCTTCATATAAATTCAGTACTATTTGTTTTAGTAGTAGTGCTCTTATTCCATGATGATATGTCTGTCTTACAATTCTAATGGTCTATAAGTTGAATGAAACTACAATTAAACCTACTTTTCAGAAGTCTTATTATCATTTAATTGAAATCAAAACTATCAAGAAAATTCCTTATTAAACAAATTGAAAATCATTGGGTATTGAAAACCCTTGTTTAGTCAATTGGTTTCTGCACTGGGCCACCTTTTTATCCAACTGTTCTTTTGACCATGGTAACTCTTCATAGCCTGTGAATGATGACCCGATAAAACATAGTTTCCCCTGAATAAAAATTAAACAGTCACCCGGTTTCGGTCGTCCATTATATCTTTTTAGTAATAATGGGCATTCCTGAGAATTATTTTCATTATTATTTATATTTTGCGCTATATCATAAATCAAGAATCGATAGTCTGCCATTCTCGTAGATATTGATGCACATGCTCCAGTTCCTGCAATTTTGCATTTATCGTGTAATTTTTCTGAGAAATGATCACTTGCAGTCACAATATGAATCTTATCATTCACAGTACGACTACTTGTTGGTAATGTATTTTGTTGTTTTATATATAACTGGCAAAGAAGATCACATATACCAATATGAATCCCATCTGGCAACCTAAATGTAAATAAATCATTATAATTACAAATAGTAATATTTATAGTATCATAACAATTCAAAGAAAAATATAACTTTAAATATACTAACTCTTTTCATTTATTTTGTTGTGGTTTATCAAAGCAAAGTTTATTTTATTATTTCACGGATTATTGTCCGGCGCTTTAACCGGGTTGGTGGACATGGAGAGTCCACATAGGGGATTCAGGAAACCCTGATCCCAAACCAATAGTGCACATGGGCTCCAGTATCCTGTGGGAACAAATGGCGTATGAACCAATCGTTGGTCACCGGCTACCATGGGACTGCATCTCCTTACGTTGCCCCACTGCCTTGTGGATCAGACCTTCAGGTCGAAGGCTCCGGGTGTGGCCCCCTGAGAAAACCACCTGATTCGGTTCGGGCACCCGAGCGGTATCACAGCCCTCACACATATCAAATGAGATCTGTATGGCGCATATGTATTTGGTGCCTCTTTGTACAAATATCTATGTGTTAAAATAAATAAATAAACGGATTCTTGTATGTGTTAAATTTCATTTTTATAAATGCAAATTTATTAATATTTACTCAAATAATAAATCGTCTGTCAATAAATTTCATCTCTAGACGTAAATAAAGCCAGTAATCTGTTTTATATTAAAATACTAAATCAATTATTTTTATCTTGTCTATTATTGTAACAAATTAAATATTTCACAGAACAGAAAGAATATGTACTATCAATACACTAGAAGAGGAAGTAATGAATAATTAAAGAATAACGGATACTCACAAGACTTTATTGAGAAATATGAGGAATGTGAAGATAAAAAAACCCAGAGAAACTACAACAAATAAAAATAGGTTTTTTATTCAGCTTAAATTCAAAGGTGATGATATCACTGGGTCAGTCAATATGAGGCTAAAAACTTCATTGACAAGAACATATCCTGCAGCTACTAGTCAGGTTGAATATTTTACACATAAACAATACTATAAATTTCTCGTAAAATATTCATCTTCGATTAATTGAATAGTAATTCTATCTGATTAAGCTTCTAAGAATTGATTCAATCAATTTAGTTACCTTAGTAATCTCAATATTTTATTTAATCAGATTGTTGACTACATCATTTACCCTTACCTTTAGGCTAATGAGTTATATTAACCTTCTCAGTCATTTTATCATTCTTGTATATGATCTTGAGCATGTACGTTTGATAGTATGATGTGTCTATATACTTGCTTATATCTTTGGTAATTGTAAATGTTAGATCACGTCTTAGTTAAATTGAATTGACGCATCGATCCTCTCTAGCTCTCATCTTAATGTGTTTCTGAGTAAACGAATACATAAAATAAATTAATGTTTGGCTTTTCATTATCGCTGTCGCTCAAATGGCATTAGTCTAAGTGGAGTATACGAAAATAAACGAGTAATTTATGTTCATGGCTCATTCGTTCATCATGGAGTTAGGGAGCCGGCTTACAAGTCAAGTTTTAACAATAATAATACAATTAAAGGCTAATTCAATCTGATAACTTTTCATTGATTTTTATATATATATAACGTAAATACCGGGTAGAAATTGAATCAGTTTCATTGAAATACTTTTTTAAGAAAATATGTCTTACCTGGAATCGTAAACGATTATCACTGCAGCCTGATATGATTGTATCAATTTACTCAAGAATATATCAAATTCTAAGTCAGTGATAGTCGGTGGTGTATGACGACTGCATCGACAGCCTTTGTTTGATATCATACTTAAAGTTGACAAAAACTGATTGTCGAATTTCGATGGATTAATCAAAACATTCAAAAAAGCTGTTTCTAGTGATTTATTTTCATCATAGTTTAGTTCAACACTGTGTTCGAATGTAGTCTCATCTAGTTGTCTAAGTTTGTTTAGATGTTTAAAATATTTGTAGTGTTTTATCTCATTCAACCATGATCGAAGTAACAATGGACATGCAACTGGAAAAATATCTGTTGCATTAACAATTGAATAATGTTTTGTCATCATCATTTTTTTATTGTTTTCAGTACCAAATGATCTTGTAAAGTTTTCATTCATAAGTATTGCTTCCGAAGATTTGTCATTTCTTATGATAAGTGGTCTATAAATGAATTATATGCATCGTTATTATTTTCGTCAAGTGCGAAAAAGTACAAATAATAATCATGTAATTTGCTCAAAAATATCTTAACCACGATTTTGGTGTAAAATATTAATTTACAGCTATATTTCATCTACTTCATTTTTAACTGTCAGATATTACCTCCAGTACTCACCGAATAAATATGACTTGTCTTCCAGAAAGCTTACACTTAATTTTTTAATCGATTTTAATACTTTATAGCAGAATCTTAGAAATTCTACGGAAAAGAATCAACTGTCAAGTTACTTCTTATCACGGTGAGCATTCATGCATATATTAAAAATTTTAAGGGCATAATTCTATGAAAAGTGCCCGATAATGGCTAATTATGATAGTCTAGTAGCAAATTCATTTGGTGTAAAGGATAGTTATCCGGTTCCCAAAAACCAGGGTAAATGAATCAGGGTTCTAACCCGTGAATTGTCAATTAATGGCGCTTTAACTACCGAATAAACACTTAGCATAACTGTGAAAGGAATATTTTGTTTGCAACAACAGTGTAATAATTTTGTACTACTGAAAAGTAGAATTTGAAAACGTATGCGTATGTGTATTTACTAAGGTTATCATTACCAAGATTACCCCACTTCTACCTGAAGTTTGTGCTGATGTTGTTCAGAAAAACAATGAAAGCTTTACTATCAAACCATCCAGCACAGAGAACGTGGCACCACGAAAATTATTTTGAGCTGAAAATCTTCACTACTCTATAGTTCATCTTAATGTCACTGTTCTTTCACATCTATATTTTGCCAACTTGTAACTCCAAACAATTGTTTTCACTAGTCCAAGTATACACCATTTGATTTACAGTTAGTTCTGAAATTGCAGAAAGGTTCAGTTCAATTGATATCGGCCAATTAATGCTAACGTTTTGGTAGTGATAAAGTAATCCAGCTGAAAAAATGTTAAGTACAAACAGAATCCCAAGCGTTAGCTATTTCCTCTAATTAAAGGCCAGCGATTAGTTAATCAACTGATAAAATGCAGTTGTCACCGTCTTTTAACAATAAATTCTGCCCTCTATATTTTATAGTTTAAATGTAATGAGTAAAATACTTGAGAAGTATTTACAGTACAGAAAATCAGTCAATTATTTAACAAATTCCTACTGATTTCTTTTTCTACTTACAAACATATCATTTAAGCCCAAATTTATTTAGTGACACTTACTCTTTATCTTTGTCATTTGTAAGGAATGTATCCGGATATTCTTTTTTAAAAGGTATTTTGTTGATATTCCTTGCTGAATTGAACTTCGATAATCTTATCGATTTTTGTCCGAATGAGTTAAAAATAAGTTTATCAGAGTGAACCAATGAGTTATAATCACTTGCTCGGTTAGTAGATGATACACTTGTAAATGTTCCATATCGTTTTGTCATATAGTCCAGACTCTGAAAAACATATTTTACAGCAATGAACAATTTTTATGAGATTATCAAATTTTTGGAACTTTAAACATCTAAGTTTAAGAATAACCAATAGAAGTTTGTTTTCATCGCGAGATAACTTTAGTTGAAAGAGCATGAGGACTAAAGTGCATAGGTAAGTTGCTCCTTTTTAGTTTAGGACTTCGTGTTAGTGGGAATGGCTAGTTGCTCTGTGGATCAAACCCAGTAACTTTAGACGTTGTGGTGAAAATTGCAGCCACATACCTCTGAATTGACAAACAATGGTCAACATTTCTAACTTTATTGATTTCGTG